GGGGAAGGAACTAGACTAGGAAATGTGCTGTCAAGAATTGCAGAGAAGGGGGCAGCTTGGTGGCAAAGTGGATAGAGCACTGGCCCTGGAGACGGGAAGACGTGAGTTCAAATCTGACCTCAGACACATGCTACTCACTAGCTGTGTGACCCTGGGCAAGTCACTTAATTCTGAATGCCTCAAAGAAAAAACAAAAGAATTACAGGGGAGATAGCAGGATCTAGCACATTACATTCTCTTTCTCTGTGTTTGTCTTTATGCTTCTTTGTCTCTAGCAATCTTTCTCTGTTTTTTTGTTTTTGCCTCTCTCTCTCTCTCTCTCTCCCTCCCTCCTAAAAAGCAGGCAACAGGAGGCAAAAAAATGTTGATTTTAAAGAATTGAAAAAAAAGAGTTGTATTGATTAGACTAGATGGTGACTAAGGACCTTTTGAACTCTGAAATGCTGTGATTCTGTGATTGGCCTCCCATTCTGCCTAATCTTGGTATGGTAGAAAATGTGGCATCATTTAAGGGCTGCTCTTTATCTGGCCTTGTCATTAAATATCCTGGCAAAGGGAGTATCGTCATGTAGTGGTAGGAAAAGGGGACCTAGAAAAATGATAATAATGAAGATAACAGCACTAAGATATAAGCCAAGTTGTGTAGTAGTATAAAAAGTATTGGATCTGGTGTCTATAAGACCTTAGTTCAAATCTTGCCTCAGACACTTACTAGTTTTGTGACCCTGGGAAGTATCAAAGCTTCAGTTTCCTCATTTACAAAATGTGGGCAAAAAAATAGCACCAACCTCACTGGGCTGTTGTGAGGATCAAATGAGATAATATATGTAAGTGATTTTTCAAAATTTAAGGCACTCTATAAATGTTAATTATTATTATTATTATTATTATAAAAGGAAGCTGGTCTCTAGAAGGAAAAGGACTGAGCATAAAATCTTCTTTAGTAACTTTAAGGCTTAATGTTAGAGCAGGGGTGGGGAACCTGTGGCCTTGAGGCCACATGTGGCCCTCTAGGTCCTCAAGTGTGACCTTGTGGCCTCCAGATAGCAGGTTTCCACCCCTGGTATAGGGAAAGGGGTGTGTTTGTAGGGGTGAGGTGGCCTGGGGCTGTGGTAGGAGCCTGTGGAGAGATAGCCTGGAGGAGTGTGTTTTTCAGAAAAGGGCTAGATTTGGAGTCAGGAGAGACATGTCTTTGATTCCAGCATTTAGTATTTATTAGCACTATGACCATGGGCAAAACAGATTTCAGAGCAATAACTATCACACTGGGTATTTCAGAAGACAAGGTATTTCTGGAGCTATGGATCCAAGAAAGTGCTTGCTTCTATTTTATTAACTAATTGATCTAGGAGAGTGCAGTGAGAGTTTGCAGAACACTGTCTAGACAAGAACCTTGAGAAGTAGGTAATTCAACTGTTATTCACATTTTACAGATGAAGAAAGTGAGGATTAGAGTGACAGGACTTTTTAGTATGTGTGGGAATTTGAAGTTAAAATCAAGTCATTTAACTCCAGGTTCAGCATTACTTCCAATACTCTAGAAGTGAGAACCAAGACTTGAGCTGACTTGATTTCTGATCTAGGGGAAGGAACTAAACTAGGAAATGTGCTGTCAAGAATTACAGGGAAGATAGCAGGATCTAGCACACTATACTCTCTTTCTATCTCTCTGTCTCTCTGCTTCTCAGCCTCTGTCTCTCTCTAGTGATCTTTCTCTGTTTTTCTGTTTCTGTCTCTTTCCCTCTCTGTTTCCCTCTCCCTCTCCCTTAAAAACCAGGCAACCAGGATGCAAAAGTATTGGTTTTAAAGAGTTGAGAGCAAACTTCTTTAATGTTATCAAACACCCTTCAATTAGTCATTTATTCTAATTAAAGTAAGTAATGGTAGAAGGAGTTCTTGAACAGGAGTTAGGAGAACTGGTTCTACTATTGATAAAACTGAGTGAGCTTTCTTGACTGAGAAGGTCACTTATCCTTCTTGAAGATTGGTTTCTTCTCCTATAAAATAAAGATCATCAGTTTGTAGCTGGAATAGTATAATCCCACAAGTTATCAGATCCAGCCCTTCATTTTTATAGATGAAGAAACTGAAACTTTTATTCCTATATCAGATACTTACTAGATGCACAAATCTCTTGAACTCCCGGGGCCTGCTTCCTCATTTGTACAGAGAGGAAATTTTGCTCAATGAGCTCTAAGATTCCTTCTGGCTATAAATCTATGATCATATTATGTGTATGATCATATGGGCAGCTAGATCATTAATGGCAGCCAGGTGGTGCAGTGGATAGAACTCTGTCTGGATTCAGGAAGACCTGAGTTCAACTATGGCCTCAGATGCTTACTAGCTTTGTAACCCTGGGCAAGTCACTTAACCTCTGTCTTCCTCAGTTTCCTCAACTGTAAAATGGGGATAATAAAAGCAGCTATCTCCCAGGGTTGTTGGGAGGATCAAATGAGGTAAAATTTGCAAAGAACCTGGCAAACAGTAGATGCCTAATAAATGTTGTTACCTTCCTCTTTCCCCATGCCTATCACATGACTGACACTGCTAGTAAATACCTGAGGTAGGATTCAAACTCAACTCTTCCTAACTCCTAGCTGAATACCCACAAAATCATGACCAGATGATTACTAAGTGAACATTCAACTAAAAAGATAATTCTGTGGCTCAGTGTAGGATTCTGGTCCTACAAATCAGCTAATTAGTTTTGAACATCAAATTTAGCTTGCCAGATACTCTTAGATAAATGTAATAGAGTCTTAGAGGCTATTTAGACTTAGAGAAGGAGAAGAAAAATGTTTGGAAATACCTCTTTTCTTGGGGGGGCATAGTCTTTCTTAGCCCAGTAACTTATCTTCATAATTGATGTCAAACACAAATAGAAATGATTCCCTGTAGGCTGTAAATTAACTTAGAAAACCACAAATTTATATCATCTATATGTATATTATATTATATTTTTATTTTTTTGTTAAATATTTCCCATTTATATTTTAATCTGGTTTAATCTGGTTTAATCCCCCAGGAGCTTTGGGGATCAGCTCTGCCTCAGAAACTATACCTGAACCAGCACTGAAGTATTAGAGTGAAGATCCCCCCCAGGAGTCTGAGATCTGTTGGCATGGCAGGGAGACCCTCAAGCTTGAGGATCTCTGATGTCATCTCTGGTTGTATCCCTTTCCTACCCTTTCCCAGTCACTCTTAGAAGGTGCTAGTCCTCAAACAAATGGGAAGGAGGGGTTATGGAGTCTGTGGGCTGACCTAGTTTGTAGGTATCAATCCCAGCCACAATGTAAAGAAGTCAGTGGATTGACTTAGTTCCTTCTCCTCATTATGTCTGCCTCCCTTTTTATGCCCCTTGGGTGTTTTTAGTCAAGCCACAAGGCCTTAACTTATTTACACCAGCTAAATAAGAGACAATTACTTTCTGTATTGATTGGCCCTTTTTCTGGTCTTAAAGTCAAAGGAAAGGACTGTGACAAATGATAGAACAGGGATAGGCATTGGAACTGATTTCATTGATATGGGAAATTCCCTACAAAACTCCTTCCACCAGTGCAGGTCAGTACCTTCTCAGTAACTCATAGTGTTGGAGAACCGCCCAGAGCAGTGGTGTCCAACTCAAATAGAAACTGGGGGCCACGAAAACATACGTAAGGATTCCTATGGCCACATATTGACTTAGAAAACCACATATCAACATTATCTATGTTCTGCTGCATTTTTATTAATTAATTATTAATTAATGTTTGACACTTCTGGCTTAGAGTACTGAACTGTAAAATTATTTGTCCAGGGTCACACAGGCAGTACATATCAAAGGCAGGTCAGATGCTAACTGACATCTACATTTTGCTTTAACATTTATGAAGTATTTGACATCCATTGCCTCATGGGAGCTTCACAACAATCCTTTGGCATGTCGATGTATTATTGTGCCCATTTTATACATGAGGTAACTAAGGCTCAGAGAGGTTATGTAACTTGCCCAGTCACAATTCTTAGAGGCAAGAAGTTTTCCTGTGTCTAAGTATACTATTCTGTCCACAAGAGATTTGGACAGGAAGGAAGAGCAAGGCCAATATTTATTTTAAATGAAGTACTTATGCTTCAAACAGGAAAATAATTTGGTATATTCAAGGATTCACTCCTGACAGGCTCAGAGTGCTTCCTAATCTGTTCCTTCTCTTCAATCTCTTCTGGTGACTTTCATCTGATGGGCAAATCAGCCCCTGGATTTTTCTGAGCTGTTTTCTAGTGTTTCTGATTTAGCTGGAATCATTTAGCCTAGAATTTGTCCACATGTAACATATAAAGACCATTTAATGAATGGAGTTCTGATTCATTTTTACCAATAGCAAAATATTTTCCCCTATTACATCTTTAAGTCACCTTTTCTACCTATCAGGGAAGCTTTTCAAGGCCTACAACTATGGTCTCCAAAGAAACTGACAGTAAAACATTGGCAGAAGATTTGATAACCACTGATCTTGAGGGAGTTATATATTTGTCTTTCTCTACACATTCTTACATGTTCTGAATTTGTTCATATATATGGGATTATTCATAAGCATGTTTTATAAAAAATGTCCCAATTGTCTTTTCCTCCCCCAACTTCATATATGGTGCCTGTGCATCTTCACATCTGTTTATTCTAGGAAATATCATTCCTTTAAATGCTAGGCTAATAGCATCAAGAATCTTAAAATATGGTTCATAAACAAATGGACAAACTTCTGGGCTGAACAAAGACTTAAGATGATTCAAGTAGGCAGAAAATAAGTGAAACAGTCATTCCACATTTCCAAGCTTAGGAAGGTAAATTATTTTTATTTTTCCTAGATAACACATTTGCTTGTTGAAAGCAGATGTTACCTCTGTTAAGATGTCGAGGCAAGTCAGTTCCAAATTGAACCATTCAAACTCTGATCAATTGGTTAATCTCCAGGCCCCAAACATCTCTCTCCTCTTCAGAGACACACTAAAGTGGCTTTGAAATTACAGATCAGGATTTCCTGTAAAATACATCAGTCAACATGGTAACTCGGTACTGTCTTCATATTTCAGGGGACTCCAGAGAGACTTTAAAATTAAGTAAAAAATGCAGATCCATTTATTCTGAGCAGGATTCCTTCCCAATTTACAAAAGATTGAAAAGTGCAATTTTGTTTTTGCCTCTCAATTTAGAAGAAAATCATGATGGTTTCCCTCTGCTTTGCATTTTAGTTGATTCTAATGAAGATAAATTCTTCTCAATCAGAAGTGTCCCAATCATTAAGTGAGACAGATGGCAGCCTTGCCATATTTTGTTAGGCTCTAGCCTGCTTTATTCAGGTCTATAGGAAAGAGCAGGGCTCATTTTTTCTGGAGAAAAAAAAAAGTCAGTATTTTGCTTGGGAAAGATGTGAAGTGATCTTCGAACCAGATGAGTCTGAGAGCCTTCCAGAGTTTGAGTGGTAGAGACATGTGTTTCTATTAGAGTTAAAATTTTTTGGGTAAATTTTGCATCATGCTGGAGAAGAGATACATTGGGATGACTTTTTAATGCATTTATCCAGCCATGTCAAAGGCTGATGTAGAATGTTTTCTACCCATAGGAGAAAACTGTCACCTCGATATTTATGCCTTTATTCTTTTCTGCCTCTCCAATGTGAAGCATTCTGTATTTTGTTGATATTTCTTTTTTTTTTTTGGTTGATATTTCTAAAACGCAGATCTGATCACATCACTCCCCTGCCCTCCCTGAAAAAAAATCCTCACTGGCTCCTCATTGCCTAGGATAAAACAAAAATCCTTGACCTGGCATTTGAAGCTGTCCACAGACTTGCTCTTATATACTTTTCCTGTGTTATAGGTTGCTTCCCCTTTACTTAGTCCCTCTGTGTTCTGTTCAAACTGGCTTGGGAGCTGTTCCTTCTCCATGACATTCCTTAACCCACTTCTGTGCAGGATGTACTCTTTCCTTATCCCCATTTCATAGATTCTTCCCTTCAAAGCATTGTTCAGCTGCCATCACACACTGGGCTTTTCCTGATGTGTCCAGTTCTCTCTTACCGGAAATTACTTTTTTTGTTTGTTTGTTTTTTGGCTAGGCTGACTTGCCCCGGGTCACACAGCTAGTGAGTATCATGCGTCTGAGGCTGGATTTGAACTCAGGTCTTCCTGACTCCAGGCCAGTGCTCTATCCACTGTACCACCTAGCTGCCCCATGAAATTACTTTTTGTTCACTTACTTGTGTACCTGTTGTTTTCCTCCCTACTAGACAGTAAAGTTCCTTGAAGGCAGGACCTTTTCATTTCTTTCTTTTTATCCATCACCTAGCGCAGTACCTGGAGGGCCATTGGTGTTTAATAAATGTCTGTCGAATTGATTGAGCCTGCCCTCCAATTCCCTTGTGGTGATTGTGGATAAAGAGATAGTTGACAGCAAGGAAGGATGACAACAGAAACAACAACAATATAAATAATGCTTTACATCTGGTAAACACTTTTCAGTTTTTATAAAACATCATCTCTTTTGATCCTCACCATAACCCTAAGACCTAGGCAGGGCAGCTCTTGTTATGTCCATTTTACAGATGAATAAACCAAGGGTCATGAGGATTAAACGACCTGCTCAAAAACACACTAGTATATAGACGGAGCCAGTGCTTGAATCTCCAGGTCTTTTGATTCCAAGTCCAATGTTCCCTCTACTACATAACATTCCTTTTGTGTGTATGAACTGAAAGTCAACAACACTCCAGCTTCTCTTAGTCCCAACTCAAGATTTAATGCTAACCATAGAAAGGGAAGGATCCCATTATATAGAAAAGATATCAGACTAGAGTGGTCAGCATAAGATATTCAATAACTTTTTTAATGCTTAACACAGTGCCTGGCACATTGTAAGTCCTTAATAAAACATGGTTGACTTGACTTAATGACTTTTCATTTCCCCCTTTACTTGTAAAAGTTAACTGACAGTGTTTATTCCCAATGCTGCCTGGAAGAAGTGGCTTTGACCCTAAACTTGTAGTAGCATTTGTTACCAGGTTCATTGAATGCTGTAGTGAGAGAATTTCTGGCCTTCTTTTATTACCATTATTTGCTTAAGACAATGAAGTAATGTAACTAGCTAGAATTTGCAAAATCAAACTGAGATATTAAACTGTACCTCCCCTGATTAGGGATAAGAAAATTTCTGGCTCGTGTTTATTACCTCTATTTCCTTAAGATGAGTATGTCTTGTAATTAGCTATAGCTCTGGTGTTAATGGTTAGTAAGCAGCAAATTCTAGCTCTATCCTCAGTGTATACTGACCAGTTTCTTATTTCACATGACATAGACCATCCTCTTCTGCTATGTGTTCTTTGATATATAAATCATTACCTTCCCTTTCTGCTATTTGTGGTATCCATGTTACCTGTGTAACTAAAACCTGTGTAATGTAGTTTAAGACTGCTGATAGGGGCCCACTAGTTTTTGTATACCATGGGTCTATGCTCTGAATATATAATAAACCAGTGTTTATATGTTTCTTCATGTTGATAAGGATGATTGGCAGCAGTACCTATCAACGAATCCTTGGACAATTTTTATATCAAGGTTGGACTTGATTGAGTACAAATTTAGGGCCTTTAATGTCAGAGACACTTCAATGTTTATTGAATTGAATTGAATTTCTCTTGAACTTTCTGACCAGGTAGAGAGATCGAGCACCCTGAGAATGCAATGAACATGGTCCATCTGGATCTCTAGTTTTCTACCAAGCTCAAGGTAGAATCCTAACTCTTCTCCCAAATTCCTTTGTATTTTCTTTGTTTATAACTTGTGCCCTAGTAGAATATACATTTCTCAGGGCAATGATTGCCTAGCTTTTTGTATTTGTAGCCTCAGGACCTAGCATAGAGTGAGACACATAATAGGTATTACTATTGATTGAATCAGTGAGTAAGCCCAATAGGCTAAAAGACCTTGACATGTTATAAGCTGTGTGAAATAGAAAGGTCTATTGAGCTGTGATGCAGATTAGAATCATCCCATAACTGCAAAAGAAGATTTCCCTCAAGAGATCTGGCTTCTGAGCAGTCCTATGAAAAGGGGTGTGTGAATAGTTGGGGAGAGGTCTTTCTGGTTCCATCACTGGGGCCATGCCTGTTACTTTCTGTAACTTTCATTGAAACTGAAAGTGAGATAAGAAGAGATTGCAATGACGGGAAGTAAGTGATCTGGGTCTGAGACCCACAGTCCTTCCAAACAGAAAGTTGATGGGAGGGCCCTCAGAGGGCAGGGCTTTTGAACAGGCAGAGAAGATTTATCTGTCAGGGGGACTGGTTTTCAGGGAAGCCTCAAAAGGCTAGGATCAGGAGAGATTCCATTGTTCTTCAGGTCGCATATTCTTCAGAGGACAGCGCCTCAATACCACTATAAGGCCACAGGGTAGAGATGCTGACTTTACTAACAAGGACAGTGCAAGCCATCACAAACAACTAGAAGAATTGCTTCAGACCAGCAAGGTCACAAAGCAAAGGTCAAAAGTGAGAGAGATCCCAAGGCTACAGTCTTGGAAGGCTGAGCTGTGTAGTGCAATACTTGCCTAATTTGTAGTCAGAGGGACTGGGTTTGACTTAATCTCTCTGGGTCTCACTAGATGATATCTACAATCCCTTCCATTTCTAAATCAATGATCTTATGATTCAACCTTATTATTTAAGTAAAGAGATTTTTCAAAGCCCTCTGCAGTATAAGTAGTTATTTACTTGGGAGAATTACAGACTAATAGTTGCTCATATCCTTTCCAAATAAGTTAAATATCTAGAGAACCAGGAAGTCAGTCATGCAACAGTTTTCACTCCTTAACAGACTTTTTTGGAAACATAGAGTTTTTTAAAATTGTCAGCTTAAACAAAACAAAATGTCATTTCTTTCTCCCACTTTGTTCCAATAGGCTTGTTATAGCACTTGATGTATGGGAGACAGAGAGAGAGAGAGAGAGAGAGAGAGAGAGAGAGAGAGAGAGAGAGAGAGAGAGAGAGAGAGAGAGAGGTAACTATGACTCCTTGAGATGGGAATTCTAACTCTGGTTCTGTCACTAATGAAGTCTCTTCAGTTCTCTATATCTCAGTTGCCCCGTCAGTAAAATGAAGGTCAAGACTCAAAGATTATGAAGGTCACTTCCAGCTCTAAGTTCACAAAAGTATATAACTTTAGAGATGCAAGAAACCTTAAAGGTCATTTGATGTCAGCCCTTCATTTTCCAGATGAGAAAACTGAGACAAAATGATTTGTCAAGGGTCACACAACTAGTAAATGTCTGGAAAAGGATTTGAATACTAGGTCTGCCTTACTCTCTCTGGTCTATCTAGTATAGAAAACTGTCTCCTGAAATTCTATTATTCTTCAGCTAGAATGTGTGTGTGTGTGTGTGATGTGTGTGTGTGTTTTAATAATTGTGATGAAAGGAAATTTCCATAACTGTGAAAACTATTTTGCATTTGGTGGTGAATAGAATACCGGTGAACTCAAACAAATTGCTGGCATCTTTTTTAGAAGTCCACAAATACCTCCCTGTCATTATAATTAACTCATATCCCAAGTGACATCTTCTAAGTTAAACCAAATACTGGCATATTTAGTTAGTGGGCCAAGAAAGTTTGTGATCCAAAAGAAACCCTTTTCGCCTGGTTTCAGAGAGTAAAACTTCCTTTTACATAGGAAATAATAGTTGATAAGTATGAAGTAAATAAAGGAAAGCTAAGATTATTCATGACAGTTCTTTCTACCTCAGAAAATGATTTTTCTAACTTACTTTCTTAGTTAAGCTGTCAGAAGTGGGGGAAAAGCTAGGTACTTAACAGATACTACTTCCTGAGAGGTTATTTACAAGAATTTCATGTCACACATACTAAAAGGGATGTATCCCAAAGAAAATTTCAAGATTGTGATTGGAGGGGCAGCTAGGTGGTGCAGTGGATAGAGCACTGGCCCTGAAGTCAAGAGGACCTGAGTTCAAATCCAGCCTCAGACCAAACATTTGACACTAGCTGTGTGACCCTAGGAAAGTCGCTTAACCCCAATTGCCTAAAAAAAAAATTTAAAAAGATTGTGATTGGAACTGTCCTCAGAACCACATTAGTGGAAGGGAACTCATTAACTGTGTAACTTTGGACAACTTGCTTACCTGTCTAAGCCTCAGTTTCCTCACCTGTCAAAGGAAAGGGTTGAAATATCAGGGGTGGGTAACCTGTGGCCTTGAGGCCACATGTGGCCTTTTAGGTAGTTGGGTGCAGTCTTTTGATAGAGTCCAAGTTTTATAAAACAAATCCCTTTATTAAAGGGATTTGTTCTCTGAAGTTTGGATTCAAATGGCTGCACTCGAGGAGCTAGAGGGCCATGTGTGGCTTTGAGGCCACAGGTTCTCCACCCCTGAACAAGATGATTTTCAGTTCTATCAGCTCTACCTTTTTAGTGTCCAGTGAGTGCAGTCAAAAGTAGAAAGGGGACGACTTACAGGCATGTAATATATGGCAGCCCTGATGTGAAAGATGTTGTACCAGCTATAGTTATTTGACTCTTCTTCAGATTCATGACCCCATGGGGCAGCTAGGTGGCACAGTGGATAGAGCACCGGCCCTGAAGTCAGGAGGACCTGAGTTCAAATCAGACCTCAGACCAAACACTTGACACTTACTAGCTGTGTGACCCTGGCAAGTCACTTAACCCCAATTGCCTAAAAAAGAATAAAAAGAAAAAAGAAAAAAAGGGAAAAAAAGAAAAAAAAATTCATGACCCTTAAACAAAGAACAGTGAAATAGGAAAGGATCAAGGAATGATATGGGAATTTGGAAATGTAGAATGATGACTATTTGGGGATTGGAAATGCCCACACCAAAAGATTATTCCATGTTGTATAAAGTAGTTTTGAAAACATAACCCATAAATAGTTACAATGCCTGTTAAGCCGTTTTTACACATATGACATTTGCCACAGTGTCGACCTTGCTGCCTATATTCCACAGATAATCTCTGCTGACAAACTCTACCTATCATAGGCCAGCCCTGTGTCCATTAGGAAATGCTGACTTAATGTCTCAACAGTACACACATATAATTCTCTTAGGAGTCGACTGAAGATTCTTTTTGTTTCCATGCCTCACACTAGATATTGTACAAAAAGTTAAAAACTTTTTTTTTTTACAATTTACAAATGTCCAGTGAAGGAGATGATGATTTAAAAAATACCCACCTAAGCACCTACAATTTGTCTAGTGACAATGCTAATAATACAAATGCTGTGACTGATGGATTCAGTGACAAGTAGTAAAACAGAGAGGAACAGTCCAGCCCCCATCAAGAATTCCAGATGTGCTGTATCCTCAGAAGCACTTTCAACTAGGTGGGGCTTTCCTTTCAAGATCGACTTCCACAGCCGCAGAATGGAGTCAGTGTTCATTATTTATTTCGACCTGAAACAGAAAACAGGAATTAGTTTAAAGCAAGTGGCTCAACCTTCTTCCTGTGAGATAGTGAGCTCCCCATCAATGGAGGTGTTCTAGCAGAGGCTGAATGACCACTAATTAGGGATGCTATAGAAGCCATTCATGCATTAGATCAGGAGGTTGGAGTAGATAATATTTAAGGGCCCTCTTAACTCTAAGATTCCGTGGGACAGTGCTTTCTTCCCCCAGCCTGTATTTGCTTGATGAAGTCAGTGGGTATAGATTTATAAGAATGTTAAACACTCTAACATTTCTGATATGCAGGTTGAAGGAGGACCACAAATCTGAAAGAAGAGCCAGGATTGGGTTCTTGGGAGAGATACAACAAATGGTAATTAAAGCTAAAAGTGAGGGTAGTAGTATAGATGTTGGTACTGGTTGGGTTACGGGGTAGGTTGGTGGTTCCCAATGACTTTTGCTCTGCATATCCTTTTTAACAACAACAAAATATATTGTGAAACCCTAGAGAAATTAATTAATAAAAATTACTTAATTAACTAATTACTCATAATAGTCTTTATAATTATTTACTACTTAAGGTACCATCCAAGAATTTTTAGTCTTAACCCCTTGGTCCATGATCAAGAACTGAATGGAAACCACAGGTATCTTAGATGTCAGGAATATGAGGGCAAGAGAATTAGTAGTCAGAAATGCTATGGTTTTAGCTTACTCCTTGGCTTCTCTGTGCCTTGATCCATCCCAACTCAGCACCATCAGACTTATTTTTCTACATTGTTATCATGTCCCTCCATTGCTTGAGAATCTAAAATGCATCAAACCCTATGGCATCAAGTCTAAACTTCTCTACTGGGCCTTTAAGGCAATCCATAATTTGTCCCCACTCTACCTAACCCTACTTATTTCCTACTATTCTTCTACCTGCATGCTCCTCTCAGTCAGTCTGGTCTCCTTACATGCTTACTTCTGCTTATGCTCTTTTCTTAAGTTGTTCCTTAGATCTAGAAGTCCCTCCTTCTTCCCCTTGGCCTTGCCAAATAGGAACTATTTCTCAAAGCCTTCCTCATCCAACAAATGTAATTCCTTCTTTCTCTGAAGGTGTAATGTCATATAACTGGCGCAGAAATATTCCGTTATTGGGTTCTGTGTGTTTGTCTTTCTCAGTAGACACCATCTTGGGGGCAGATACTAGGCCTGGCACTGCATTATATAATCCTCCATGGTGCCTATATATACTAGTAAGTAATGGATGTTCCACAAAGACTTGTGGAATAGATTAGATCATAAATGGAAACCCAGAAGGCAGGGGTTCTTAACTTTTTTGTGTGTAACATGACCCCTTGGGCAGTCAGGTGAAGCCTATGGATCCCTTCACAGAATGATTTTTTTTTAAACCATAAGGGAAGGAAATGCTAAATTTCAGTTGGAAGTTGAAAGAAAGTTATTTTAAAAAGTTGTGATTTTTTCCCATCCAAGTTCGCAGATCCCCTAAAAGAAGGAACTTGCCCCCCTTGAAGGGGTTCTGTGAGCTCCAGGTTAAAAACCTCTGTCATAGAATGACATATTAAGATTTACTAAAATTTATATTTCTATAAATGTTTACTTGGAGAAGGATGTTACTATGATTTCTTAAAAGAAACCTCCTCCAAAAGGTTATTTAACATTAGCATTAGTAGAATAGGAAAGTCTTGCATAAAAATTATTTTGAAAAAAAGCATGAAGATTGCTATTATTTGTTTCAATAGCATAGAGTGCTGGACATTGCGCTAGGAAGACGTAAGTTCAAATCCAGCCTCACACACTTACTAGCTTAAGGGCAAGTCGTTTAATTGCTGCTGTCTGCCTCAGTTTTCTCATATGTAAAATGGGGATAATAATTTCACCTACATCTTGGGGTTGTTCCAACGATAAAATGATATAATATTTACAAAGCACTTTTCAACCTTAAAGTGCCACATAAATGCTCCTAATTATTGTGATTATTCAATCATTTATCTTGTATAAACTCAGTTGTTCAATGGTAGTGCAGTCAAATTGAGACTTAAGCTTCTTTTGATCATCTTCCATAAGAAGCTACAAATACTAATTCTTTAAGTCAGGGTTTAGCCAAGGTAAAACTGAATTAGTCCAAATTTGTTCTTGGTATTCTCTTTTCTGTACCTTTTCCTCCCCCCAGGGGCATTTGCTCCATTCTCCACTTCAGGTTTCCAGTACCCTCATATTCTTTGTCTTCATCCCCCCAACAGAACCTATTAGACATTTTTCTAGTATATAAATGATAACTTACAGTGTTTTCCACAATACTTGAAGGTATTCACACTTTAATAAGGAAAGAAGTTTTAAGATAGAGGGAGAATTCTCATGGTGTGATTCCAAGCATCAGCTAACATGTGTGGAAAGGTTCTTTCAGAGCCTGGGGAGCTTCTTGGCACCCCCCAAAATCATACTATGTGGATGTTTGCCTATTTCAACTATGTGGAAGGTTCTATGCCACCAAGAGGTATTAGAAATCAGGATTAGACTAGAACTTTGGAACAGAATGAGAACATATAATGCTGGACAGAGATTCTAGAAATAGCTGATGGAGAATGGTGTATCTTGCTCTGTGTCCACATGGAGAGAGGGAGAACAAGGAGATGCAGAGGGAAAGATAGGACTGAAAACAGCTGAATGGGCAACTGCTACTACATCAATCCCTTTCCTTTGAAGAAATGCCAGTGGCAGTAGATATTTCAATTTGCACTCCACTTGTCCAGCACTGTTAGCCATAATCTCAGCTCATGGCATAGCTTGTCCCAAAAGTCTTAGTGCAGTTTTAAGCTCTAAAGAGCTAGGAGCAGAATTATAACTAAGAATTTTCACACCCGGGGCAAGCCCCACAAACTATTCCTGAATCAAGTGCCAGGAAAGGCACACTGAGTTGCTAGAGAGGCACCACTCTAGGGGGGAGGGATAGAAACTTCAGGACATTAACCCCTGTGGAAGGAGGACTCAGGACACTATGAGACTACTTACTAGTAGGCTGCCCATCACAACTCCCTCTCTCACCTTGAGGAAGTGAGCCATGTTGTAGCATCTTATTTTAACTAATAATTCTCGATAACTAGGAAAGGGGGAGGTGAGAGGTAATTCAAAGCCAACACCCTTCCTCTAAACTCCACCCCCCAAAACAAAAACAAAAACAAAAAACAACTCACTCAAAGTATCATCTTAAAGCTAATGTGATTATGGGGATAATCTAGTTCAATTTCTGCATTTTACAGAGAAAACTGAGAAGCCGGTGAAGGAAAGTAACTTGCCCCTTGTCACAGAGTTAGGTTCAGGTAACTCTTCCTGAAATCAAGGCTGCGCTTAGGTAGAGTCAAATAGAGTCCAAATCTCATAGTTTCTTAGACTGTTAGAGCTGGACTTGGTCTTAGAAACCACCTTCTCCAACCCCCTCATTTTATAGAGGATAAAAAAAAGAGGCCTATTGTTAGTTTTAGAGCAGGAACTAATATTTTGAATTTTCATAAGGCTTTAAGGTTTGTAAATTGCTTTTCACATGTTAATTCATTTGATCCTCACAACAACCCAGTGAGATAGGTGCTATTATTATCTCTATTTTACAGATGAGGAAACTGAGGCTGAAAGACATTAAATAACTTGTCCAGGGTCACACCAAGTAGGAAGGGATTGAGGCAGGATCTGAATTCAGGTCTTGCTAATTCTAAGTGCTGTGCTCTATCCAACTACCATCTAGCTGACTGAAACCCAGGTCTCTTGACTTTAGGTCTTTCAGACAGGGTTTTGAAATTTAGCCCCTCCTGAGCAGTGATCCTTGTATTCCAGCTACTCCTTGGTTCTCAGATCCCTCAACCTTTCTGGCTACCATTGGTGGAAAAGTTTAAGCCTGGGAGGGCAAAACTTTGAGGGAAAGAAAGAGTGAGGCAGTGGCTCATATAGGAAGGACTTAAGTACTGTCTCCCTTTTCTGGCCTTGTCTAACTTGAAATCCCCTGATGCCTACAACTGCTCCAGGGGCAATGTGTGTCGAAAAGAGATTCAGGACTCTTAGGTTTGGGAAAGCATTCCTTCGTTAGCAATGATATATTGATAATAGTATCAATTTAGAGCAAGAATAGGGAATAATTTTTTTTTCTTTTGGGGGTCACTAACCCACAGAAAAAGATGAATCATTTAAGAAAAAGCAACTTAATTTAATTTTTTTTTTCAGGAAAAAACATCTCAGCTGTTGGTTCTTAAAGTTATGAACAGAAAAATAAAAATCTATTTAATAAATACAACAAATTTAAAAAATGTTCTTCAGGTCTACATTGTGGACAGGCAAACGATAGACAAGCATAAAGGATTGAATGAGTCAGGGGCAGTGAAAAGGGGAGAAGACAACACACAGAAAGAAATAGTAAAAGATTGAGCAATAAAGATCAAGAAAGACAAGAGACACAGGCCTCATTTCTCAAATGTATAGAAAACAGAGTAAAATTTATAAAAATACAATTCATTCCCCAAATGATAAAGGGTCAAAGCATATGAACAGGCAGTTTTCAGAAGAAGTAATCAAAGTTATCTACGGTCATATGAAAAAATGCTCTAAATCACTATTGATTAGAGAAATGCAAATCAAAACAACTCTGAAATATCACCTCACACCTATTAGATTAGTTAATATGGTAAAGAAAAAGAAGGAAAATGAGAAATGTTGTGGGGGATGTGGGAAAATTGGAACACTAATGCATTGTTGGTGACGTTGTGAACTGATGCAACCATTCTGGAAAGCAATTTGGAAATATGCCCAGAGGGCTATAAAACTATGCCTACCCTTTGATCCAGCAATACTGCTAGGTATATATCCTAAAGAGATAAAAAAAGGAAAAGGGACATATTTGTACAAAAATTTTTATATCAGCTCTTTTTGTGGTGGGTAAGAATTAGAAATCAAGGGGGTGCCCATCTATTGGAGAATGGCTGAACAAATTGTGGAATGTGATTGTGATACAATATTAT